CTGGAGACTACTACTTCTTGATATCAAAGTTTATTACAAAGCTACAGTGTGGTGCTAACATAAAGACAGGCATACAGAGCAAAAGAATGAGATAGAGAACCCAGAAGTAAACAATACATGATCAAGTAACTTGTCACCATAGCTGCTGTCCATGGATCTATCTACCTGTGCTTGCCAGCAGCACAATCAATAATGTCTCCTGGAAGGCTGACCGTCAGCAGCAGCTAATATTGACAGCCCAAAGTATTAAGTACTGAGTAGATAACATTACTGCTCGGGAGCATTGGGTATCTGGGCTCTGAGCTCTTAACAATAGCTAGCCTTGGCAGCAACTAGGGAGGGCAAGGGCCACAGCTCTTGAGCTAGAGAGTAAAGGAGACTGTCACCCCTACATGCATGATAACTCTTCTCAGGACCTCTTCTGGTGACCAGGGTCTGCACCTTGGCTCTTCATAGTCTGCCCTCACAGTCTGAGCTCTCTTCTAATTTTTTGGCCTTCTCAGAACTTTTAAAAACTTCGTTTTTCTCCAACATCACACCTGCTGTTTTAGTAGCTCTCTTGGCTTCTTAGTTCCCATACCAGTGCTGCTACAGATGCTGCTGCCATCGCTGCTGGTGTCACCACCTCTGCCACCACTGTCATCTGCTACTGTCGTCCACACCACTATTTCTTTGTACTATGAGCTCAGACAGTGACAAAGATCTAGGATGGAAAGGCCTTAGGTGAGACTTAATGAGCCAAAGTCCAATTAGACTTTATTGAAACCTAATGTTACAACATCAGGAAAGTCTCAAAGAAGAGAATTACATGGCAAATCCTAATACCATGTGAAGTGGTTGGGTTATATAGCCCAAAAGGAAATGCAGCATGTAAATGGCATGGTGGTTTTGCACACTAATCCCAAGCCTAGTTTAAGGACCTACGATGTGCTTCATTGGCTCATTGCTCCATATATCACAACTCGTCAATGAAGGATTTCAATCTATACAACAAGCACCAGCCTTCTCCGGAGGTTGTGAAAGGGTGTTCTTCCTGTGGCTTGAATGAATTTCCCTACAGCATCATCTGAGTTTCACTAAGACTTGTTTTGCATAGAATGCTGCTTTCCAAGGTCCTGTGCTGCTTGTCTGGAGTGGTCATACTTGGATCATACCTTCAGTTGTGCTTGTTGGACTTGTCTAAGGTTTCTAGAGTGTTCTCAAAGTGATGGTAAAAGGTCCAGAACAGTTTGGCTGTCATGAGGGCATTCCAGTGAGTTTCTGGAAATGGTGCTAGACTTAGAACTGTAGTCTAGATCTCAGACACATAATTACTTGTGTCCTTCAACCTCCAGCATTGGTGGCGAGGGGGGGGGGCGGGTAGGAATTCTCAAGAGTTGTTGAAGTTCAGAAGTTCAGACTCCATATGTCAACTCACAATTATTAACTTAAAGGAAATGAGAACTAAAATTTTCAATACTTCATGCTTCAGAGCATGAGAAACTACTTTTTTGACAATTATATCTTCTCTTAAGTACTCTTTTTAGTAAACTGCTTTGGCAAGGCGATAAGAATGAATAGAAACTATTAAGTAAAATTTAAAAAGTTTTCTACTCTTGGAGATGTGACTCAAGTGGTAGAGTGCCTGTCCAGCAAGCAAGAGGCCCTTAATGCAAACCCCATGCTGTCAAATAATCACAATCAAAACTCTCTGATGCTGAGTGTCTGTGGCTCATGCCTGTAATCCTAGTTACTCAGGAGTTAGGCATCTGAGCTTCAAAGGTAATCCAGGCAGAAAAGGCTCATAATGAGAGTCTTATCTCCAATTAACCACCAAAAAAATAAATAAATAAAAAGGACAGAAGTGGAACAGTGACTCAAGTGGGTAGCGTGTCAGCCTTGAGAAGCTCAAGGGAAAGGGTGGGACTGGGGGGGGGTTCCATCAAGAATCCAATGTATATCCTACAAAATTAAGGAAAATGGAAGAGGTAGGTTGGGAGGGATGACTGAGAACTTTGAAAGAAGTGACATTGATCAAGATGCACTGTATTCATAAACTGCTTTGTTAAATGGCAACTACTTGGTCCAACTACTTAAAGATGTTATTTTTTAAAAAAGGAAGAAAAAAGGGGCAAATCTTTACAAAGCACATTATTATTGTTGTTATTGTTGTTAAAGCTCAGGGAGAATGAATAGGCCCTGAGTTCAAGTCTTAGGATTAGGCACAAAAATAAAAATAAAAACCTTTTGGGAATTGTTACTTTTATAGTCAAAGGACACAATTCAGAGTCAGACTAATATTATTACAAAACAGTAACCTGTAACATTTTCTTAAAGGTTATTTGAATTTTGACCAAGGACTAAAAATCTCCTTAACAGAAATTATAAAAAGCCTCAGCATATCAAAAAAACATTTTGCAAAAGTTTTTTTTAAATCAAACTCTGATCTTCAGAGATTGATAGGAGTTATTGTTAGAAGAAAGATACACTTCATTATTTTTCACTGTGCTGTTCACTGTTTGTCCAAGAGTCTGTCACTATGTGTATAGCGATTACCAGAAACTGAAAACTGTAAATATCCAGATCATGTTATATCAAATGCTGAATTAATCTCTAGCATTTGCATTAAGGAATTTGGATTGACAACAAACTCTATAAATGATTTTTCTTTGTAAACTTTGCAAATCTTTGGTGTATGTGATTTTTCATACCTTAGACAAAACACAAAAAGATTTTTGGAAGCTCATTTGTGAATAGATTTTATTTAAACGAATGAAAATTTCATGTGAAAAACATGACTACAAAACAAATTTTAATTTTCTACAAAGCAGTTATCATATTGTGTGATGACTTCTTTATAGAAAATCTTCTTTAAATGATACTAAAATACAGTTCCAAAATTTTCAAGACAGTTATTACATGCTACGGTCCAAAGTGAGTTCCCTCTAAACTTGAAATTCTAGTCTCCCTAATGTGATGGGGCTTTGAAAAGAGACAGATGAACCTAGGAGGATGTTGTACCTCATGATGTAATCAGTGCCTTTTTTATTTATTTTTATTCAGTTGTAGGTCTTGAACTACGGGCCAGGGCACTGTCCATAAGTTTTATTGCTCAAGGCTAGCACTCTACTATTTTGAGCCACTGCACCACTTCCGGTTTTCTGGTGGTTAAATGGAGATGAGTCTCACAGACTTTGCTACCCAGGCCTGCTTTGAACCTCAGTCCTCAAATCTCAGCCTCTTGAGTTGCTGTGATCACGGGCATGACCAAGCGGCATCCAGCTCTTTTTAAAGTGAAACCTAAAAGCAATTTTTCTTTCAGCCATATGAAGAAACAGTGCAAAGTCACCATCACCAAACTAGGTAAGGTTCCTCACCAGAACCTTATTCCAGGATCTCCATAACTGTGAGAAAATAAATTTCTGTTGCTTAAGCCATCCGGTTTATAGTACTTAGTTATGTCAGTCTGAGCCGGGTAAGATATCCCATAAATTGTTTCAGAAATACTATCAGTATTATTTTATTGATCTCTGCCATAGCACATACAGCAAAATGTTCTTTCTTCAATTTACTAGATCCTCCATAGGGACTAGTATTGGATATTGACAAAATTAATTTGCAATATTGGATGATGATTTGGCTAATGTCAAATCATCTGAGTAAAACTATTCTCAGGTAAATTGTTCAAACGGGGTTTTGTTGCTGATTTTTCCCACGTTTTACTTAAACCTCTTGGTTACTAGTTGTTGTTTTTTCTTTCTTGATTTTGCTTTGTTTTGTTTTTTAAGTATTCTTTAACACGATAGCTGCCTCTGGTTACTAAATTTCTAGGTCTGTGAATGGAAAAGACAGCATTTGTGTTAATGGTGTCTGAATTCAGATTCCTCCTAATCTCACTGATTCTCGCTTGTTAGTTTGTAAATTAAGCACTTAAAAAATGAACTAGGTTTAATTGCCTAAAATTTGTCCTGATTCTTAGGAATCTATAAGGTGAGAAGAGCAGAACACTTATTTCTTCTTAAACGTAGAGCTGTGCGCTCTCATTGGTCATCAGTAGTGCAGGGTATCACTGAAGCACAAGACCTCAAGAGTGCCTTCATTGTTTATTATTCCTGTTGCTGTCGTTAGGCATCAAGTTATACACTCCATAACGCGGTGAAGAACGTGAGGATTTGGGCAATTCACCACTTTCCCTAGACAGGTCACGCTAACTCCTTTAGGGAAAGAGTGGATCATGAGGAAGAAAAACAGCCTAATCTTCCCGTGTTTGAGCTACGGAATAAAACCTTGAGTTAGTCCTGATCACCGGGGGGTGGGGGGGTTGCCAACAATGCTAGAACTGGAAAAGACCGCCGAGGGCTGAACCCGTCCCATCACAGAGCGCCAGGCACCGAACCTCGTGCAACTTTACCAACTGGGAAGCCGAACCAACTTCCCGAGGGTGGCCAGGCTCTGCGACTTCCTCCGCCCACAGAGGCCTGGGCTTTTTTTCTTCTTCTTGCTGGGAATGTGGCTGGGTAGGATCCCCGCGCCTGAGGGCGCGCGCGCCGCCCGGCCCAGCTCCCAGCGCCCCTCCCCCGGGGCAGAAAAATGCGTTTCCAGGCAACGGCGGGGCCCGGCGTCACTTCCTGCCATTTAAACTCGGGTCCCCACCCCTCGCAGCCCGGGCTCCTCATTTCCACTGGCCCTCCCTCGGTGGCTCCAGGGCTCCATTCCCGCTTCCCCGGGCTTGGGGCAGGGGGGCGGGGGGGCGGGGCGGAGGCCCTGCGCG